CAGTGTCTTAAGCCGAGTGGACACTGGTCTCTGCAGATATGCCTGACCATTGTGTTCGAATATACTGTCCGCCTCCACTTATTCCATTTATGATGTGAAGGCACTCGAACTTGTCTCACTAACTTTGGGCCTTAGGCAGTGGCAAAAGGCTTCATTCACACTTCACACACTTCACATCAAAATAGTTACTTAAAGGTTTTGTGTGTTAAACGTGGGAACAAAACAAAACACAACTCCAGGTATGTTTTTCATGAGGAAACAACATTATTATAACATAGATCGGAAAATAGCATAATATGGGCACTTTAACTAGAGCAAAACCCAGAACTAAACCTAGAATAAACCAGGAGACTAAACCAGGGTCAAACCAAGTCTACATGAGGACTACAATTGTCATAAACCTGGCTCAAACCAAGATACGTGTGAAAGCACCCAAGGAAATAATACAGCTAATCGCATTCACATTCATTTACTAGAGGCCATTAGAATGACTATTATCTGGGTAAATTGTTGCATGGCAGAAAGTAGCTGCGGGGAATTCACAATAACACTGTTATAATGTGCAGAGACTCCAGAGATTGTAGGTAAATAAATGGCATGAATTGAACCCTGAACCACCCTGCTTGGCAGAGCCAGACAGGGTTGATATATTTGCTGTATACATCATTAGCGACTACTGTCCCACTCAAAGTAGTAGGGCATAATAGTATGTTTGTCGCATGGTTCTCTGTTACTCCCATGTTGGACTTAAATCATAATATAAAACTGACTATTTTAAACAATTGAAAAATTCACTTTTCATTGTGCAATAAAGGCATGTTACCATACATGTATATCTTGTGTTATTTCTTCATCTTTTTACACTCTGTTATCACCCTTTTGGCCTTTTCACAAAACAATCTTTAAATATGCATTTAAGCACTGTTCGGTTGAGATTTCTGTGCATAATGTAGGCCACTGTCTTCTTGTGATAAATGAGTGGTTGGACTAAGGTCAAAGGTCAGTTGTATCAAGGTGTTTGTCCTTTCATGGCAACTGTGAATTGTGTGAACACAAGTGCAGTGGTTTCACAGTGATACTTTGATGTCTGGAGTCAGATCATGTGACATTAGAACAATGAATAAAAATATATGTCATGGCCTTTGGTCTCCTGGCAGCAGAATCAGGTAGAAATTTGTATTTGGGGAAAATTTATGACTTAAAGTATCCTCCATCTTTGCAAAAGTAAATTCCTTTTTCTTTTTTCAAAGACCATATTATCCTGGATCTGAATCTTACAACAAACAGCATTTTTTTTTTTAAATAAAAACATCTCTCCAAAGACATACTTGGTGAAACTTGACAGGATAAAATAATGTTTTGAGTCATTTATATAACTTACTCTCTTAAACAAAATCTCATTGGCGCTTACAATTGAGTATGGGAGGAGAATGCTGGCTCGCCTTATAAATACTAGGATTTGTTCTTGCTAACACATCACTTGTAAAGCATCGAGCTCAAGGGACAAAGGGTACAGCATGTTAACTTAAATCACTTTTACAATGTTTACAAGTGTCCCCAGCTTTTTATCACCAAAGCACTTACAGACTGTTGCAAGTGCTCATAAATTCAGAGTCATCACTAGTGCATCTTGGGAATTGTAGTTTGTCGCATAATATAGGATGTTCTGCTGCAGTAAAGTAGTTGTTAATTATGAATCACTGTATGTGTTTAAAAATGTTTCTTTAAATGCACTTATAAAATGTTGAAGAAAATACTAATCTATAATGAATGGGCCCTCATTGGGGAGAAGCATTTTAACACTTCTGGATAGACATATTGTGAGACTGGACGATTTGTTGGACACACTTTTAATGGCGCAAAACATTTGGTCAGAGCGAAACATGAATGATTTAGGATCTGGTAGCTGCATGACTTCACGTTATGAAACGTTAAACATGCTGTCAACTGGCCCACTCTTAATGCTCCTTATACAGAGCCTCTCGCTCTCACAGCTGGTTGTGTGCAGTTAAATCACACTTTGGTTTAATACTGTTTTGGCTAATGTGTGTATCTGCTATGGCTGTTGTTTCTTTTCTTGCTACAATCAATCTGACAGATATTTTTTAAGTAATTTTGAAAGGGACATAACATTAATCTGAGGATCATATTCTAATTAGGTAAAACAATAGTAGATGAATGCTAAACTCAAGACAAAAAAGTAAACTGAATCAAATAGATCGTTGTTTCAGTAATTCAGTGTATGATGCAAAACAGTTTTTACAATTGGTTTTAACAGAAGACTTTACAGATACATTTATTAATCAGATCAAATAAATTTAAAAAATCTATTGGGTATTCTACAGAAAAGCTAATTGTTATTTCAGGATAGAAAATTCATAATAATAATTTTTAAAAATCTATATTTTATTTGTATTTTGACTGAAGTTCTCATGGACCTGTGTGACATGACTCAGCTCAGAAAACCAATTGAGCATGTAATACAAATGTTTGCAGACACACAAAATACTAATATTGACTAAACAATACCTTGAATTACTTTTCTATAATAACATTGCACCCATATGCAATCAGATTATTTACTGCAAGTTACCATAGTAGCCAGTATAGACCACTTTAATGTATGCATAATATCGTATACCTTAGCCTGCATGTGAAGTCCTGTTTTGTGAGTGTGAGTGGTTTTGCTCTCATAATAAAACTGCAAGTTAACTTACACATGCTGGTATTCTAATGTGCAGGCAAAATAATTTTTCAGGGATAAAAATAGTCTTTTATTCTTTTTAGTCTTAGACTATATTTGGCTTGAAATGTACAAATCTTTATTAGTGTGTTTGACACTTTCTTTGAAATGTAGATTGTTATACTCACATCAGTTTTAAACTAACATTGTTGGTGATATAAAATTGTTTGTTTTAAGAGATTGATAATTATCTCTTAATATAAAAGAAAGATGCTTCAATGGTTATTTTTAAATGGTTGATATAAGTAATTGGTTTTGAGCTACTGTGCGCCAGAATGGTCTTACTTCATTAATAATCCATAGCATACCTACAGCAAACCTTCTGAAATGCCTTCAGGGGCCAGGTTTTAATCTCCAGTCGATTCGCACTGATCAATAATCATCTATTCATAACACATTATTCACTAGTGCTCGTGTTGTGGAAGACTCTGAAAAGTGCTGACTGCAGCAAAGGGTTGAACCTGTTGGCTCATGTTTGTGGTCAACTATTAGTATGAAGCCATCTTCATCTTTTCTAGGTGTTGGTCCAGGTAAAGATTTAGCAGGATTTTTTAATTTAACTGAATCTTAGCAACTGTGAGCCTAAAGCGGATACAACTCCTTTATCATTTTGATTGAAAGAGAACGTGGACATTCAAATTTTAGCACATAAAATCTTTCAAATAAAATTTAAAAAAATCTTTGTAAAACTAGTTATGCCATGGTCAATTAATTTGTTTCACAGGGAGAATAAAATGCTGATTAGTAAGCCAAAATGTTCAAAGAATAACAATATGTCTTATAAAGTTCTAATTACCTTTTGTGTTAGCTTTTCATCATGGATCTTATTACACAATTAGTTTCCTTGTGATGGGCCTCATGTTCTTGTTATGAAGACAAACAGAATGTAATTTGTAACAGAAGGAGTTATGGCTCTGATCAGTGATCACCCAGGTAAAAGGGGTTTGTGACAGTGACTGATCACATGGTGGTCACCTCCACTCCCTGACCCTGGAGCCCTATGGACAGTAGACAGCCTATCAGAAACACCGTCCTTGTGCATGAGTTGGGCTGCTACAGAAATAGAAACAGTTCAGGTGCGCGTGCGTGAGTATGTGTGTGTGTGTGTGTGTGTGTGTGTGTGTGTGTGTGTGTGTGTGTGTGTGTGTGTGCGTGTGCGTGTGTGCGTGTGTGTGTGTGTGCGTGTGTGTGTGTGTGTGTGTGTGTGTGTGTGTGTCTGCGCGCGCAGTGCCCTTCATCCACAACATTGTCAGGTAGTATATTTGTGACTATATTCATGGTTTTCTCATCCATTAATTATTGTCTACATTACCAGTGGTTCTCATACTGGGCTGTATAAACTTGCCTGGTGGAGTTTCGAAAATCTATTTTTTTATTAATCGTATAGTCGTACAATGTAAATTTTTCTTATTATGGTTGCTGCAGTCTTTGCTATGGCAGGAATGTGTTTTAGAGTTTACATATTCGAGATAATGATTGACAGTTACTTTTTTTGTCAGTTTGTCTTGATTATTCGGATACAGCGTTGCAGCCCAACTCAGTTGTATTTTCATTTTGCGTTGAAACTCACTAGAGTAAAGCTTGTGAAATTTTACAGATCCGTAGTTCCCTCATGTGGTCTCTCACTGAACTACATCTTCATTCATAGACGCGGTGACTAACAAAACTGCTTGCCTCAGCACTTTTTTTGCTGATTCTGAAAAATATGATTACGTATTAGTACAATCATTTATTAAGTGTCAACAGTCACAGCTTGTGCAGTCATTTTTAACAATCACCAGAAGAATTACATTTAGGTATGCCGATATTTTTAATATTTGGATTGGAGTTTACATTCCACAAGTCATTAATTACAGACATTGCAATAAGTGTGCAAGATTTTCTGCATGCAATTTCCATATATTGTAATCAACATTTCTTGTGAGCTTTATTTCAAAACAATCTGACCATGAAGTGCTGACTTAGTTGGAACTTCAACAGGGAGCTGATTGATTCTTTTATACAAGTTTGTTGAAAATCATAGTCCTATTTTTAGATTTCAGACCATCTAGTGCAGGGGTCTCCAACCTTTTTCCTTCAGTGAGCTACTTTTACAAAACGAAAATGCCAGAGAGCTACTAATTTAAATTTAAATTAGTGGTCACAAGAAATACAGTACATATAAGATTTTAGTTAGTAATTTAGTAAGAGTCACTGCAAGTGTTAGATCAGGCACATAGATAGATGCCCATAAAACATAAACCATTATCTATTTATTAGTGTACAAAGTTAGGCATCAAAATGATACATGTACAATGGTAAAAGGCATTTAATTAAACAAAGTTTAGTCATTCAGCACAATACGTGTAATTCAGAAATCCTTTGGCGAGCTTCTTGGAAGGGGATGGAGAGCTACCTGTTGCTCCCGAGCTACAGGTTGGAGCCCCCTGATCTAGTGTGAAATGTAGCAAACACCAATTGATTATTCATACTCTCTAAGGCCTGTTTTATTTTCACAGATATGGTGACATGGTACCAAAGACCATCATGGGGAAGATCTTTGGCTCAATCTGCTCTCTGAGTGGAGTGCTGGTCATCGCTCTGCCTGTGCCCGTCATTGTGTCCAACTTCAGCCGGATCTACCACCAGAGCCAGAGGGCCGAGAAGAGGAGAGCCCAGAAGGTAAAACAATTACTGAGGAGGGGGTTGTTATATTCACTGTTTCTGTGTACGGGCAAAGAAGAAGAGAGACAACTCAATGTGCTAATTCAGTCCGAAATACAACCAAGCCACCAAATTTTTATAGAACATAATGGTAATAGCTAAAAAGATAATAACACATTATAATAATAACTATATTATCAGTTACAAATAATGATAATACATTTACAATATATTTTTATTAAAGGAAAAACATGTTAGAAGGTATTATCTTAGTTACAGAATTAGTAACATTAGCAACGTCTTTCTTTCACCATTCTTTGACTATATTAGCTAATTCGTCATTGAAAACACTTAAGACCATTACTAAGGCCCCTTGAAGCCTTTATGCAAGTACTAGAATAATAATTGCAAACATTATTTATTACAATAAGAGTCTTCATTGGTCTTCGGGTACTTCTTTGTGAGTTGTTGAGTCAGATTTCTCAGAACATGGACATCTGTATATGTGTTCACAAACAGAAAACCAGGCTTGCTAGAATTCTTGCCGTGAAGAATGGAGGGGCTAATGCTTATTTGCAGTACAAACAAACCCTGCAGCAGTTCGGAACGAATGAGGAGGTAACCGTGGAAATGCAGTCGTCGGTGGGTGGTGCTGGTGTTTTTCTCTCCTCCTTTGGTTTATGTAGTTCTCCTCTTTGCTGAGCTGTGACTTACTGACCTACTGCAGGCTGCTGCATGCTGGATGTCCAGTATTAACCACCGGGAATGACCTTCTTCTATCTTCCTCCATCAAGGGACATTTACAGTATCTGACTCAGCAGAAATGTATTCACATGTGGGTCCATGTCAGTGACAGATTTTGATAACTTCAGATGAGCAGACATGTTGTGTTCTTTTCACTAAATATAGATTGTATTTTTCCTTAAAGGTGCACTATAAAACTTTTTCTGATAGAGTGTCTGCCACCTTCTTGTCACCAAGGTGATTTTAAAGCTTTGCTGGGTATTTTCCACAGTATGTTATTAAACACTATCTCCATGAAGACAAGCAGATGAGGCTGCCAGGCCACGTTACAGGCCTGTGAATCTGTGGAGTAACAACCCCACAGTCATAAAGTAAAATTCTTTATGTTTTCAATTCCATACTGTTGAAGCAATAAGCAAAGCAATAACATCTGTCTGGAGACAGGCAAGTGGCACACCCTCCACCTGAAAAGCTACATAGTGCCTCTTTAATTTCTCCTGTACCTATATTTTTACTGAGACCTTGCAGTGGACCACTGACTGGGAGAAAGCTGAAAATGTCTCTCTTCAAGGATGGACCTTTTCCGTGCAATACACCAACATTGTACATGAATGCCAGAACCTAAACTAACACAACTTTTCTTCTTGTTTTGTTTGGACTGCACTGGCCCTTGTGTGGCTCAACTGTTGATTTACCTGTTCATGATATCACCACTACAAGTCCATTAGCCTGTGGAGTCATGAGACCAGTCAAAATGCATGATCTCAATAGTTATGTGGCATGCACAGTGAAATGAATGTGGAACTGTAGCCTTTACAAAATGCATTTCATCATCAATGTGTCGGGCAAACCTTTGAACTGTAACTGTAGAATAAAAACGTTAAGACCTGCTCAGTGCAATCTGAAGGTGTGCTGAATATTCAACACGAATGATGGCAGTATATCACACCCCTTTATAACACTAATCTACATGTTTAGAATAAAGTGTTTTGTCATTAACAACCGAACAATAACAAAGTGATTGAGAGCCTGGTGTATGGTCAGGTGGCACCTCTTGACCTCTTTAAAGCCTCACACTGAAACACTCATATATTGTTTGATTTGTATTTTTGCTCTAAAGGCCTCAAAGGAAGCTGGGAAAGCCCTGGTGTGCAAGACCAACCCCAACTTTGAGGAGCATCACCATCATCTGCTGAACTGTCTTGAGAAAACCACAGTAAGGAAACACTGAAACACACAATTCATCTGACAATGATGAAAGTTACAATAACAGTGTTTCTCTGCAGAACCACGACTTTGTGGATGAGAAGACATTTGAGGCCAGCTTCAGGGAAGAGACCCTGGTGAAGCAGATTTCTCGAACCTCGTCCATCTCCTCCAGCTCCTCGGCTCACGGCCTGAGCTCCTGCTGCGGCCGGAGGAAGAGGAAGAGCTTCAACGTCCCAAACTCCAACATGTCAGTGGGTCTACAGGGCAGCCAGGAGCTCAGCACCATACAGATCAGAGAAAGACCACTGACTAACAGGCATGCACCTGTCCATTCAACGTCATTCACTTACGTTTAATCTCCTGTCAGATGTTGTCAAATCAGACCTTATTCCAATGAAAAGGATCCAGTTTGTTGTATCTGTTGGGGAGTTTGACCAAATGCTCTAATATCCAGTAAAAAACCATGAATGCACATTTAGTGCTGGAAAAAATATTTGTTGATGTAATGTGCAGATCCGCTACTTGCATGTAGCACAATTAAAACAGCTCCAAAATCACAGCCTTTATATGTTTCTTTTTAGTCTATCTACTTGCTAATACTAGTACAAAATGTTAACAGATTTGAAGCTATACATTTTATGTTTTTTAATCTTGGTAGTTAATTTAAAACACATTTGAGAAATGTTCCATCTGAAAATGACAAACTAGTCTAGTCTAGTGGTCTTTTCAGAGTGTAAAGTTGATCAAAACAGCTGCAGGCTCCAACAGGACAGTATACAGTACACATAAACACATGGCACACAAGGTCATGTGATGCAGAATTCCCATGATGAGTCAGTGCCAAAGAATCCACTCTGTCCAGCTGTGGGAGGTCTGAGACTCTGAGAACTGTCTCCTCAACATAGAGAAACTGTCCCACAACAGTTAAACTCTACTCCTCTGAGCAGGTCCCTCCATTGAACTGAAACACACACAACTATCACTGTCATTCAGTTCTGTGCATGATAGTTATTAACAATTAGATTTTGCTAACAGTATAGCAAAGGAAGATACTGGCCTTTTGCTCTCCAAATATATTTTAGCATTGTAAAAAATATTAATTTTTATTTGTGTCCATTGTGGTGTTAATTTTCCCTCTCTCTCCAGTCGCTCCAGCCGCTCCAGTTTGAATGCCAAGTTTGAAGAGACAGTCCCACTAAACTGTGAACAGCCCTACACCACTGCGGTCATCAGCATGCCCACGCCCCCAGTCACCACGCCTGAGGGGGACGAGTCTGCCAGCTCCACTGACTACTCCCAAGCAAATATAGTTCGGGTATCAGCCCTCTAGAACTGACTTTACCCTATATCCTCAGACCGAGAACCACAGCCAGGATAGCCCAAAGCTACAGACTGTGCGGGCGTGGCATCAAGGATTGAAGTGTTAAAAATGATGGCATAGCCTTTGCTTAGCTCTCTACAGGGGCATTGCATCAGTTTGTATGCACTCATTCTCAGTTAACCCCTTTACAGACTTTTCTTGAACAAGAATTTCTACCAATGCAATTGAAAGATAACTGTAGCAACAAAAAATTAAACTATATTAATGTTATGAGTTTGCATTTAAAAGAACAAAATTGGCCTTCACAGCATTTTGATGAAGAGATTGAAATAGTTGATTGCAATACATCTGTAAATGTTTAAAGAGTTTCTGTTTTTTGCACCACCACTCAGCCTAATTCATTACATTATGTGCTTGTGGTTCACCCTAGAATCAAACTAAATATATAATTCTTGCTAAGTGACTCAACCTGGACATTAACTGTAGCATTTATATTTATTTACAGCAAGTTTGGTCAGGAGCCTCTCAGTGGGTTCATAACTGTTTTTTTACAGTTGTGATTATGGCTGACGATTTTTGGATTTCCCAAATGTGTTAAGATGCACACAACTGAATTATTTCAGTACTGAGGTGCATTAACACACTACCTGCTGTTTTTATGGTAAAATCATGACACACTTTGATGAAAAAAAACTCTTTGCATAGATATATTTGGATGATATGGTCTTAGGCTATTGTTTTGTGTCGGAGGACTCAGGACCATCAGAGCATGCTTTAAGTGTGTGTGTGTGCTTGAGTGCATGAGGTGGTTCATGCTGGTGTTCTGCATGCAGACCTGACCAAATGTGTGACTGTAAATATTCTCTGACACAGTTTTATGTTTACCACAGAGGGCTGCTGCTTTGGTTACTCATTATAACACCGGTGGAAGTTAGACTGATGTAATTGAGAACAAAACAAATATTACCTCTTATCTTGCTACCTGCTTGTTGTGTTTTACTAGAGCCATCATTAATTGAATTTACATAATCAATTAGATAAACTACTGGAAGAGTGCGTGGGTCATTCAGAAAACAATTACTTAAACCCTATTGTCCATTTTGTGAACTATGGACCAGTGTTTAGATACAGGCTACCTGACCAAAACATTATATGTAAAAACATGACCATGGTTTATTTTGTGTTCAAATGCATGAAATGTTCATTCTATTTTTGTTAAAATTATTTTTGGTTGTCAAATACTTGACATTCTTTGTGACATGCCCATCAGAGCTCCATAATGCAGCAGGTGTTTTGTTTTATCTTAAGAAGCACCAATGCCAACATCATTCTTCTGTCGCTTTATCTTAATGTGACATATGCAATTCACTCCTTTCCTTTTTTGTAATGATATCTCTGCTTTTATACTGTATATTGAAAAGCCGAATCAGGTCTGGTATAAATACAAAAACATATTTTTGAGTAGTATAATGTTGCATTGTTGATAATGAAAGTTCTATTACAATCTTGCTAGTTAAATGTTCTTGTTATTGAGTGTAGTAAATTTGTGTTTTATATATAATTTCCTATATTTTCCTTCAAGATAATTTCCCAGTGCATGTATAGTTCAGACAGAAATAATAGCGTGCATCAGCCTGCCCAGCCAAACCCCACATTCAGTTGAAATGTACATTGAGGTCATATTTAAGCATATTCACAATTAAACCAGTCCTATACAAATTAGACAGATTATACATCTAAAATAACATTTTTGACACTTTGGTTGTGTGTTTCCAACTGAATCTATCCAAAGGATCTTTGTACTCTGTTCACAATGCCCCTTGTTTTAGATTGGTTGTATTTGAATTTGATCAATAGTCAGGGACCAGACTTAATCTTTGCATAGAGTAGAGAGTAGATGGCTGGTCAGGTAGTTTATGCAGGCAACACATAAGGGGAGACATGACTGAGATAATTATAAATGAATTTCTTATAGCTTGTACAATTACAATGTGAATCAATGAGGTTACTGAAAAGAGACTTCCATGAATTTGTCCAGTGCAGTGTTTAAAAAATAAACAATAATAAAAATGTTATCACAAACATTGTAACATGTTGTTAGCTAATTTGTTATCATCAGTCATAAGTGACTGTGCAAAATACAAATATCGTAGTTTTTAACATACATGCTTCTACGGTATAAACACAGTAGTCAAGAAGATGAAAGTAGCTAAATTAAATGTGTTAAGACAAATATAAAACTACCATGCTAATGCAAACCCATAAATGTTGTACCATAAAAATTCACGCATGTGCAGCCACACCTGAGATGTTCCATACACCAAAATCAAAAAGATAGTTCCTTGTTTCGGACTGTTGTATTGACTGATGTATTTCGATGCAAGACTCATACAAATTACAGTTTTACAATCTGACAACTGGAGATCTAAATCATTGCAAATTTAAACTATTTCAAAGTTGTTTTTATCCAGTGAAAAATGCTATAATCCACTTCAAAATTGCAGTTGATTTTTACAACTCTAAGTGTGCATCTGTAACACTCTATTGCCTTCATGTGAGAGTTATGCAGAATCAAGAGTGCAAACTGTGGGCAATTCTTCACAACTTTAGGGATTTGTCAGGTGCTCCCTACGACTGAAGTTGGAGTAGAGTCATTTGGTGCAACCACCACTGTGTTTGGCACTGGACATTTGTGTCCATAATACAATGCCCAGAGCAGCATGAGAGTCAATGCCATGGCCAGGATCTGAGCCACACCGATGGACACGCCCAAGAAGCGCAAAGCCTGTAGCTGCTTTGTCCCCCGAATGAAACTGTAGATCTTTGGACCACAGCCCTAAAATATGAAGCAAACAGATATTAGTCTATGGGTGTGTGTTAGAATATATGAAACTTTACTGTGTGACAGAGTGTGTGTGTTTTTTATCTGTGCTGTATTATATATCATATAAAAGGACTAGCACTAGTTAAAATGGAAGCAATCCCGACACAAACATCTGGAATAAATGAACATAGATAATGAGAAGAGCGGAGGCTGACCTCTTGATGCAGGTCACTGAGGTCGTGGTAATGCGCATGTCGAGCACATCCTGGATACTGATTGGAGCAACAGGAGTCAGGAGGCCACTCCATCTCTGTCATTTCCAACCAGTCGGTGAAGTATATCACTCCACAGCATTTATACTGTAAAGTTCAAATACAAAATATGACTCACATAACCACATGATTTTGTGAGATTTTACAGTTTGCAATAGTAACTTCTGACCTCAGTCTGGAAGGTGTTCCAGGTGTGTGTGAGCCATTGGTAACGCTGGAGTCCGTAATTTGGCATTCGGGACTTGAGACTGATCATGTCTGAGCGCTGAACTAAAGGCTAAACAAAAGACAGAGTGAGAACTCACGCCTTGTCCCATATTTCTGCTATGATAACACTATTCACGCTGATCTGTCCTCCTCTGTCCCTCTGCAGGTGTCACAGAGATAGTAACATCAGCCGGCCCAGCTACTATGATGAGATAAGCCTTAATGGCTCACTGGAACTTCACTGATATGATTTGTCCAATGTTAATGCTTATGGCTTTGTTGAGGATAAAAATATTGTTGGTTGTGAAGTTGTATGTCTCGATCATAGATGTATGTAACTGGAGACGTAGTGTGTGCCGGACATGACTGACATTTCTGGATATTTTTAGATGCACAGTTTGTATCAGCAGCCGAATGTTTGACTGCAGCTGCTCTGGTCCTGCTGCTCAAACTCAGTGTGGTCTGTGCATTGCAGACATCCTTAATTTACCACTGTACAAATGTAAATCAGAGCTGAATATTCTTACCTCATCATATGTCCAAACAGCACAGGCTAGTTCCACACAGAAGATCACCAACAAGCTACAGAAATACTAAAATATGGACAAAGAGACAGGATTTAGGGCCCAAAGCACGATTTGTTTTTTTCATAATCCTGATCTTGTTTTGCTTGCAGAACATCTGACCTAGTACCTACCACAACAGTGTCCTTATCAATTATGTCTGCAAATATTATGTCATATATTGACTAACTGAAATAATTAATCACAGCATTTGATCTTTTCTCATCTTACAAAACTTACAAAAGTAAAGTGCCAAATGCTAGAACATATGCTAAATTATAAAACTGGAACAGACTGGAAAATTCATCGCCACAAGCTGTGCTGTTTCTATTTTTAAGTTGATTGAAGAACAAGATGAAGACTGAACTTTTAACACCAAAACAGATATAACAGATGGAAGTGAGAAGATAGGGTTCTTTATTTTAGCTAAAAAGGGAAGTAATTGAGTTTAACTTCTTAGACACATGTCTTCTGTTTGTGTTGATTGTCAAAGAAGAGGCATATTTTAATCTTTCAAAAAAATGTATAGTAGTTTAAAGAGATAACTGTCTGCATGGATATTCTTTTTACTTCTAATCGAGAAGTAGCCTATTCTTGGTTTGTGATGGAGCCATTAAAATGCAAACAATTATTTATTCATGTGCATGTGCATGCAAGTGTGAGTGTGTGTAAGGAGTTTGTAACTTTATCCTTTAGCCAGTAAAAAGCTAAAGCTGAGTTCAGGATAGGTGGAGTTTTGTGTCCCCATTGTGATGCGATCTCCCAGGTGTCTTTGGGGCAGGGGCATTTCCTGTTTCTTGTGGCTTCCTATCATTCAACAGGCTGTGTCCATCTGCCTGCAGGGACAAACTTATCTTCATTGAGAGACAATGGGGACACCTGAATCCTGGCTCTGCCCCCCGTAATGGGTCACACACAGGTGATCCAGCTAACACACAGAGCCCTGTTGTAAAACCTGTTCAGCTATAGGACAACACATCTACTACTTTCCCTTTACATAAAATAATTTTATTCATGCATGAGTATTTTTATGTGTAGTGTAAAATGGCTCTCACCCAGGACAGAAGCAGTAGGTTACATTTGTGTGTGCCGCAGTATCCAACCATGGCCACAATAATCAGAAAACAGCAGACAGCAATGACAACTGGATGCACTGCAGCTGAATATGTGACCACTGTAGCCTCCTCCAACCTGTAGAGACATTTGCAGTAAGATGGTATAATGGAAGATGGTATAATGGAAGATGAGAGATTACACTGACAAAAATAGACACATAAAGACATTTATGTAGTATTGTAGGTACTTTTGCAGGTGCATTTTAATGGCTTCAGTGTGTCTTTATTGCTTTATTGAAGTTGACCTAATAGACCTAATGATTTTTGAAACTACAGTGGCACAATTTATACTTTTTGGAATAATGCTATTTTATACATTTTAGTAAACACGTATAATTACAAACATACAGTTGTCACCAATCATGAACTGTGATGTACATTTTTGTTCAACTTTATTATGGGGGAGACATTTTTGGCTATTAGAACACCTGTTCACCCTAGTCCAGTGTTTCCCAATGAGGAGCACAAGACCTGAGCATGTTTTCAGGTCAAAAATAAGGTGACATTGAACAGTACTTAAATATAAAATGTTGCAGTACATTTAGCATTTTTAAAATGTTTTTGTACAATGCTTACACCACTTAAGAGGTACTCAAATTCTGAGATAAGTCTTAAGAAGTATTGAAAATGGTTGGGAACCATTCATAGTCAAGTAATGGGAAACACTGACATAACTCATTGCCTAGCTGGGTAACAGGAATAAAGCAATATAAATAGTGTTGATAGTATCCACATTGGAGTCTGTGCACCGGCATTGTGATGGCACCTTTAGTGACATTATAGTTGAGTGGAGATCTATTGCCAGTGCTCCAGACCCCAAACTCACCTTGTGTGTGCTGTGAGGGTCAGGACAGTGTTGAGGGAGTCTCGGATCCAGGCAGCCACTCCCAGGACACAAGCTGACATGAGCTGGGAGAAACCGAAATAAACACACACAAAAATAAACCCTCTCAGATCAGTTTCTGTTGCCTACAAATAACAGCAGAATGTGAAACCTGCTCCCACAAACACACGGCAACCTACTTTCACTGTACCCCTAACTCTGAGTTTGACGTTTTGAACACAAAGCCTAACTCAGAACCAATAAACATTCAGAACAATGCCTACACAACATATTTAGCCAGTATAGCAATGCACACAAGTTAAATAGACAACATCAGAAAATATGCTTCAGTGTAATAAAACTGTAAGGCATAATTTTATTCATAGACTATTTAGCTGTGTAGTCAATTGTGTAGGTTACTGTTTTTTATGCACTATTAGTAAGTGTTTTAATTAATTCCCAGTGCATTTTGATTATTCTGTATTATCACTGCTCTCACCCAGAAGAGTAGGTTAAGCGCGTAGAGCAGGCAGCGCAGGCACCTCACCGCGTCCTGCCGGGCCATCCTGAGCGCAGCGACCGGTATTCGGCCGCCCGGCTCATTACCTTGGCAACATGATCACGAAACACAAATAACACCACGTTGGACAACACGAAGTGCCGAGGACGTTGTCTGCAGGGAGTAGTTCATTAGCGGTAATTCTGGTGCCTCATGCCCGGTGCGTAAAAGGCGAATTCCGCTGTGCGCAAATCCACGCGCTGAATCGCTTCGCACGCGCACAATGTCCTTGAAAAGATTCTGAAAACATCCAGAACACGTGGTTTCTCACTTTCTCTCAGTCCACCGACATGATGGAGTGTGTTTGTGGAGTTATGGCAGAGGTGCTGACATGTCCAAATCAGTCATCATAACCGTAACAGCGCGTGACCACTTTCAAAATACTGTGGATTCAGCCAACCTGTTGTTCGCAAGCTATTAAGACTTATTGGCGTGGAAACGGAATTTTTTTATCCTGTGAAAATTCCAAACGATTTATAGTCCTCGCCAAACACCCTAAATCTTGTGCGAAGATTAAATTCCAAGCCTCCAAAAAATGTCTTGTAGTTGTTGTTGCTGGAGTCCTGGGCAGTCTAGTGGGGGCGATACAGTAGAGCACTATTGGTAGAGTCCATGTGGATATCCCGTCAAATGATAGGTCTAGGGCTCGAGATCCTCCAATGAAAATCATTACCTAACTTCTACTGAGCAGGTTGCAATAAAATAAAACAGCAGATTGTAAATCCTAACTGTTTTAGCAGATTATCACATAATGACCTACTGTCTTATAGTGGGCAAGATTAGGTCCCATGCCAATTAATTTATTCGAGATTTTTCCGCAGTTTAAATTGTTAATGGAACAAACACATCTGCAATGATGTCACAATAAATGTCTTTTAGTGGGTACTAACATGGATCTATAGCGAGAAGAGCAAGAATACGATTTTATTATACTTCCATGGGCATTAAGGCTACTCTTCAAAATAAACTACAACTCCCATGAACCATCTCCCTTGGCCCCACAGCGCTGCAGTATGGAAACAGATGGACCAATCACGCCGCCGACAGTCACTGCGTCACTTTTTCTGACCTCATTTTTGGGTGTATTTTTTCTGAGCGAGACAGCGGCTGGCGGCGCCATATTGAAAGAGAAAAATAATCATATTAAACTTGAAAAACGACAAATTTGCGGCAATGTTGTACCTCGAGGACTATCTAGAGAGTGAGTATAAACGTCTTATTTAACCCCGATGGTTGAATCACGTCGTAATGTTATCTTAATAAGTGGTTTTCGTGGGCTGTATTTGCTGTGGCAGTTAGCCTAGCAATGCTAGCAAGGTAATGCTTTTTTTTTCTTTGGCAGTGATCGAGCAGCTTCCCATGGATCTCCGCGACAGGTTTACGGAAATGAGGGAGATGGACCTGCAGGTTCAAAGTATGTGCGGCAATACTGGGTTAACCCAAGCATACTTTCTAATGCGTGAAGACTGTTGTGCGCTTGTTTTACAGTATAAAATGCGTAGTATTTACGCGTATTTTAAAGACTCTTAAATATTTATTCTTATTATGCTGTCCTGTTTGTTGCTTTTAGCAAACAAACAGGGCATGCAGTAACAGTCAACAAAAAGCCATGTAAGAAATATTACATAGTTGCATACATTTACATTCTTAATGCATTTTATTTTGCAGATGCCACAGATCAGCTGGAGCAGAAAGTCATTGAGTACTTTGTCAATGCAAAAAAGAACAAACCAGAATGGAGAGAAGAGCAGATGGAAGTTATTAAGAAGGTGCGCAGATATCAGAACTATTCGCACTTCACATTCATAATATATTGTATGCTATGTATATGTGCCTCTGTTTGTTTCTATTAATATATCTCCCTGTGATAGGATTATTACAAAGCTCTGGAAGATGCTGATGAGAAGGTTCAGCTGGCCAATCAGATTTATGATCTAGTAAGTTTAACCAACTGCCTCCTTCTGTGCAAGTTTTGTTGTTCAAGTTTAATTTAATTTACAGTCATACTGTAATCTTGCTTTAACTTGATTCAGCCAGATTGATATGTGTGTACTGAGTTCTACACATTGTCAATCTGTGATGACTCTTGTTGAAAGCAATTGCAGAAAAGCAGGATGTCATACCCATTATTTGAATCTGATTGCTGAAGTATCACAGTAGTAGCCTGATTCATCAGCCGGTTTTACTTCATTTCACTTCACACAAACTGTCTGACCTCACATCCTTAGAATTCGTTCGCCCGACAGTAAGTGGGTAGTATTTATCATTTAACCAATCGCTGCTATATGGTCGTGATATATGTAATGCGCCGCTAGTGGGGCTCACTGGTATGTCAAGTTTTTCCCAAATCCTGTAGGAAGAAGGGCAGTAACGTCCTTCCCCTTGATGAAATTCACCAAACATTCTCTTTATTCTGGCTTTAAATTCTCAATCTCGAGAATCGTTGACAACACTGAATGTATCACTCTATCACTGATTGTCTGGTGCCTGAACTCTTCCGGGGATTTTGCGAACCGTCTATTGTAGGGTGACCATATTTCCGTTTGTGAAACCCCGGACACCTTACCGGGGGTGGGGGTGTGGCCTCGACATTGAGCTACTCTCACCTCGCAAACCTGTGCACATGGCTTCCCACTTGTCCCTACCGGGACAGAAAACTGAGAATTTCTTGTACAAGTCATTGTTAAATGCGCATTTGCCCTTTGGCATGTTGCAGGCTGACCGACTGTTTGTGTCTGCTTACTCCTGAGTGCACAGAGAGCTACGAGAGCCATTCAGTTTAATGGCCCCAATCAACGGTAATGAAAACCCGGACATTTCCATCACTTTAAAAAAAAAAACCGGGGCGCCCAGGACAGGACGCAAAAAACTGACATCGCTGGGGAAAAATGGACATTTGGTCACCCTAGTCTATTGTATTTTGATTCCTGATCTAGTTGCTGGAGAGAAATGAAATTGAGCGGAGGCACTAAGTGGCGCCAGCCTGGGTATCACAGTAGTGAAACAAGCCAAAAAACTTTTGTTATATCCACCACAGACATCTTCCCTGTCCACAAATGCTCAAAGCTCTTACCTACTGGATGTTTTTCACAAATAAAATAGTCTGTATTTTTGCTAAAATGGATTGAATTACGTCTGTCGGCGTTGCCATGTGTGTTTTGGTTTGCATGAGCGCTTTACCTTTGGCTTTCGTACAAACCTCAGTGCTGCTCTGTGATTTGTCTGTGCACATGGCAAGGTGGATTTTTGTGAGTTTGTGAACTTACAAATATTGTGAAAATCCATCTTAATAATTCATGGGAAACTATAGGAAATTTAATATAGCCCTTCAACTTCAAAGTGTGTTCTGAATTCACATATAACATTTTTTCTTTTGCAAATTCAGTTTAGTTAGTTTGTTGTTGAATGCAAGTGAATTGCAGAAACCCTTGAAATGAAATGTGACTATTTGAACACTAGATGGCAGTAAAATACCTTACTAAAGGAGCTTTTGTGTGTGGCCATCCAACACTGTTTTTGTTTTTATGCTATAGGTGGATCGTCATTTACGAAAACTGGACCAAGAACTGGCTAAGTTTAAGATGGAACTTGAGGCTGACAATGCAGGCATCACAGAAATCCTTGAACGAAGTATATTGGCAGTTAACTTAGTTCAATTCAAAGCAACCTACTTCAAAGACAAGAAAATTTATTTATTTATTTTATTTTTTTTAAACAGGATCATTGGAGATGGACAGTCCATCTCAGCCTGTGAACAACCACCATGCCCATTCCCACACCACAGCTGAGAGTAAGTGTGCTGACCAAACAAATCAGTGCAGAGCTGACTTTATAATAACCTGATTTGTTTTGTAACAGAGAGAAAATACACTGCTCCAGCCCATCACACAACAGAACATGTTCCTGAGAAGAAGTTTAAGTCTGAGGTGCTGCTGTCCACTCTCACTTCTGATGCCTCTAAAGAGAATACACCAGGTTGTATGAACCTTTGATTTACTTACTATTTATTATTTATTTTACAGATTTTTTAATTTTTTTTTCCTTATCTGTGATTTAAGCAGGTTGTCGTACAAACAGCACATCCTCTACCACCAACAATGTCTACAGCGTGAATTCGTCTCAGCCGTTGGCTTCCTACAACCTGAGCTCCCTGCCTGCAGGCCCTGGAGCTGGGGCCGGGGCAATCACCATGGCAGCTGCCCAGGCTGTGCAAGCCACTGCACAGGTACTTAACATTTGCAAGTCCTTTTCCTTCATAAACCAACGTATGACTATGTAAATGATTGCTGCATCTATATTCTGAGGGGTTAATTATATATATTGTATATTTTTAGATGAAAGAGGGCAGGAGAACGTCTAGTCTCAAAGCAAGTTATGAAGCAATCAAGAACAATGACTTCCAACTTGGCAGAGAATTCTCACTCTCTCGGGACAATGGTGGATACTCTTCATCTGCTCTGGCCTCTACACTCACACAGACCCTCACCCCAGCCACAGCTTCTGATTCACGAGGACGCAAGTCTAAGTAAGCCCCATCTTTCTGTCTTCTATAAAGACATGAAGTTCACAACTCCAAATGTCAATCTCCTTTTGTTTCTCAGAAGCAGCATCAAGAATTCAAACCATCAGTCATCCTCGTCATCATCATCTTCGTCACTTTCGTCTTGTTCCTCTTCATCGGCATTGGCCCAGGAGCTCTCTCAGCAGGTCTCAGTGCTGCCTGAGGCAGAGGCCAACAGCCAGGTGGACTGGACTTACGACCCCAATGAGCCTAGATATTGTATCTGTAACCAGGTGGGTACATGAACTGGAGCTGGAGTTGGAACTTATTAAACAGTTGGCTAAATTATTACCTCCGCCAAGGAGGTTATGTTTTTGCCGGCGTTTGTGTGTTTGTTTGTTTGTTTGTCTGTCTGTCTGTTAGCAACATAACTCAAAAAGTTATGGACCGATTTTGATGAAATTTTCAGGATTTGTTGGAAATGTGAAAAGGAAGAAGTGATTTCATTTTGGGGGTGATCCGGACGAAATCCTGGATTCTGGATCACTTTGAAATTTTAGTTAACATTGTGGTAAATGGGGCCAAAAATGTTGTTTCTCAATATCTCTGTTAATTATTGACCAAACCCCATGAAATTTGACCAATGAAATTTGACTCAGGGATGGACAATGGGATCCTCTTTCATATTCCAAAGGCTGATCCGGATCAGATCCAAAAGACTGATTTTATCGCAATTTATATAAAAAAATGGGGGTAGTCCTTGGCGGAGGTCTGCGCTCTCTGAGTGCTTTTCTAGTTTTAATTCTGTTTTCGCCCACAGGTTTCCTATGGAGAAATGGTTGGCTGTGATAATACAGATGTAAGTAGTAGTTCAATTCTGATCAAATCTTAATTACGTGTATCCTAATATATCTTTGAGTGTTCATTGGGTGTCTGTCTTTTCCCTCTTAAAGTGTCCAATAGAGTGGTTCCATTATGGCTGTGTGGGGCTAACTGAGGCTCCAAAAGGAAAGTGGTACTGTCCACAGTGTACAGCAGCCATGAAGAGGAGAGGGAGCCGTCACAAATAGTTTAACAGCTCATCTGTGTCCTGTGTTTGAATATAACCTCCAACGTGGTCAGAGGTCAAAAGACTACATATAAACTGTGCTAAAATGACTTTCTGTGCCGTTACTTGTCGGATCACAGTCACATGAAAAAAACTACTTGTACATCTCAGTTATTTGGGAAAACATCTGTGCTGCTGGTTTCACAACACTAAAAGTAAAACCTACACGTGACCTTAGTAAACACATTTACTTGTGAAATAAAGTTTAAATGTCCCAGAAGGGGGGAAAAAAGTGTTTTTCAGGTTCACTCCAACTTGGGACTAGTATTGGTCTGTTATTGCTTCCTATGTTTCTCAATCACAAATCAGATTCATTTAGTTAAAGATGATGCAAGTATTTATCTAAAATGTTGTTTACAGATTGTCTAAAAGTTGGTTAAATGTCACTGGCAAGCGCCTTGATCAGAATATTTTTGTCTTGACCTACACTTTATTACATTAAGTGAAACTAAAACTTAGTCTGTACAAAACCAAAATGTGCTCATTCCAGTCAATTTGATAATAGTGATGTTTTAAATTTGGTTTAAAATATACATTTCTGCACAACATATTTTTGAAACTGTTGTATGTTTGTGAGTGAGTTATTGCACTGAAGATTCCTTCCAGAGGAGAAAAACAGTTGTATGTTGTTTTTTTTCTACAATGTTTAATTATACTCATTTCTGTACACCCTTTTTTGTTTTTATTGTTGTGTAAATTATGTAGCGTTTAGTAGCCTAAGTTATGAATTCCTGAATACTTCCTGTCCTCTCTTACAGACATGCTCACACCATTCTCCATAAATAGACTAGTGTTTGGAGGTGGGGAGGGGTGAGGTATGGGGCCATCGACCTCCTACTGAGAGGAGCAGAACTTCTGTCAGGAGAACTAAAACTACACCTAATGTCTGTCTTCATTGGGGCATTTTGGTCTTTTCAAGTTCTCATGTCTACACAGTCTCCTGTTCTCGTTTTAACGATGGAGGACGGACTAGAAATCTGAAGTGGTTTTTTTTTTCTCTTTGCGGAGTTTAACTCAATCCAGATGGTCTGTCTGTCCCTGGTTAGGTTGTTTTAAGGCGCGAGCACACAGTTCTGTTAGGTTTCAATACTCTTTCTTCGGTTTTATTGGATATTTTTTGACATTCCCAACAAAATAACGGATTGTCGGACGATCAGCGAGTTTTCCATCAATTTTTTTCTGTAGAGAGTTTATCGAGGGAAACTTGAAGAAAAAACGACGCTGCACACGAATGGGCAGCAGAGGTTAAACGTAGCAAAAAGGTGAAATGGCCACCTTATGCCCGCATGATCAAAGCTGGTGTAGAGGACACGCATCTGGTGTATAGTGTGTGCTTACAGTGTTTTTCAGAACAATCCATTTTGTTTTACACTTTTCCAAATTTTAGGATGTAACCTAAATCGCCGGTCCCTGAGAACTTTACTCATATTTGGGCGCTTAATGACACGAGCTCTCGCTGTGGCCGCGGACAGGTCACGGTAAGAATGGGATGAAACGAGGAATGTGAACTTGGGACCTCTCCGATGCGGTGCCTTCTGGCCTCGGTCGGCAGGTTCCTGTGGAGGGACTCTGGGATGCTCCTGCGCCGCCGCCTTTATCCCGGCCCGCTGCTGCTGCTCGGAGTGGCCCTCTGTCTTTTCTACCAGACCCTGAATGTAGCGCGGAACCGACTCCAGGTCCACCAACAACCCAGCCCACGTGTCCACGGCTCACTGCACTCAGATGGGGTGGGTTTGGAGGAAAGACGGCGCTTCATCTCCGCTCTGGAAGCTCTCCAGGCCCAGGTGAGCAGTGAAAGGGTAGATCTCCCTGCACGTGCCTCTCCATGGTGAGACCTGTCATGACCCACACTCTCACTCAAAAATGACTATAAGCCTATAACAGGCCATAATCATTTAAATTTAATGACATTTGGGCCTAATTGAATTATTTTTTCTACACCTATCAACCTGTCCTTTTCACAAAATAATAGTCAGGTTATGCTTTAACAAGTTTTGCTCTTCTGGCCATTGTTGAGTATTTTTAGATGTCCTTTAAGCCCCCAGGCTTAAAGGACCCTGACTGGTGATTTAGTTTCACTCCCTCTGACACCTGTAGCGATATAGGGCCTATGCATCCGCCTCTGCTTGCAATGAGCTTGTGAGTTATATCGTTTATATTGTAAGTTTTTACTCAGTGGTACCTTTAATTGATGCTGTTTTAACTTGAGTCATTCCCTTTGGGGGTCTGTTTTGCAGCACACAGCTGCTGAGTAGCCCAAACCCAGTGATTTTCAGCCTTTAGCATTAGATTTGTCTCACACCCCTTAACTCATCTATTAGTGATTCTTTAGTAAGTAGGCAGCATCAAGAAATATTACATGTTATTGTTTCAAGTGTAATGACACTGTGAGAGACACTGTTAGGCTTAATTTAAGAAAACACATGTTGTAAAAAGAGACATTGTTGATATTTCTGGAGCTGGTGAAGGGGCTTCAGCTTTTTGCGTCTTGATTTGATAGCGTGTTTATATGTTCATATCGTGTCTGTGACAAAGGTGGGAATTGCCTTTAACCCCAGATCTGACCAAATGGTGCACAGAAACATGAAAGTGCAGACTCTTAAAGGTGGTGGACATGTAATGTCTCTGTGTGTTTTTACAGCTGACAAGTCTCACTCTCAAATAGCAAGGAGCTGTAGTGAGCAGGAAGCTTTTCCAGACAGTTCACACTGAGGCCAAAGCATCCGGTCCCCATAGTTGTCACAACAGTGTCTTTATTTATTAACACTTATGTTCCAGACAATAATAGTCCTCTAAAGTCCATTAAATATACATCTTATGTTGTGACTTATCAGTGACTACATCATGTCACAGACTTTACATTTGAGTTCACAGACAGCTGGGTCATGTGACTTGTCTCGTGTGCCCTCTGCTCTGATAAAGACTCGCCTGAGCAGCTGTGGTATGCTAACCTGACTTAACTTAATGAGTGTTTGCAGAGATTAAATTAAGTGTTTTAAAGTCTAGGTTTCATGGCCACTGAAATGTTATGTATTTGTACAAGTTAATTTTCATGAGAAAGAATAATCCACTTGCTTTATTTATGGACAGCTTCAAAAAGTTTGTTCAGTTATTTTATTTTGAGTGGAGCTTGTTGCAGCCACTAAAGGCCTCAGCAAAGACCCAAAGCAACAGGACAATGGTCAGTTAATCACAGTGCTGACACCAATTCAATTCATTTTATAATGCAATTGTAATTTATCAGTTATCATGGACAGAGAAAGGCCAACAAGTTACACAGCCACACACAAAAAATCAAGACAGTGTTTCTGTAATTAGTATTCAGCTCACACTGTCTTAAACTGGGTGAAGAGAGTGACTTGTTTTTCACTGACTTGTGCCAAGTGGGACGCCAGTCATCTTTTTGTAAAAGTTTTTTTTTTTTTTTTTTTTTTTTTTTTTTTTTATGGGAGAGTCTAAGCAGGCTTCCTTTTCTGTGATCCACACAAGCAGATCACATACAACATTAGTTGGTAATTAAAAGACACTGACTAGGGTAGTGCAAGGTGAGAAAGAATTATGTTCCAAAAGTGTCTTATAATGTTGAAATATTTTAATATATAATTTTAACAAAAGACTAAACCAGGACAGGTTGTAATGTCCGTAGGTATAATTCTTACAAAATACATATTGTGTTACCTAATATTAAGAACTACCCATATTCCCTTATTATTTATCAGTTGCTATTTTCTTTTCTTTTTTTTTTTTTACAAATATTTACTTGGTAGTATTGTGATATGAGTGCTTCACTCAGATCAGACACACTGTTTCCAGGGCCTGTTTCTAAGTCTGTGCTGGCAGAATAGAAGGTCCACTCAGATATCTATGTTTATAAAATGTCAACAATAAAAATAAACCACTACACCAAAGTTTGATCCTATTGGCAGTTAGTACAGTTATGGTTATGGGGGGGGGGGCAGACTTTGATGATATATACAGACTAATAATAAAGTTTTTCAAATATGTGTGAATGAAACAAAACACAACTTTAAGTAAATTTTTGATGAGGTAACAACATTATAACCTGACTCAAAGCTTGCAAGAGTAAATTACATGTAATATAGAAGCTTTAACAGGCACGATCAAGTAATCTAATAATAAATATGTGTTCTGTGACTATGTAGATCTTTAAATGGTATAGTGGATGCACCAGCTCTGTGAAGGACTGTCCATACTGTTGTAACTACTTAACTCTCTGGGAATTGGTTGCACCATGTTCCTCTCTCCCAACCATGCTAAAGTCAGCTTTATCTTTGTAGTTTGAAGGTTTGCAGACAACATGCATTCCTCTCTGACATTATCAAGTAGTGTTTGAAGTCTCTTATGCAT